CGCTGTTGTAGAATCCAGATATCACCCGTGCGATGCCGGGGCAGATCGCTAATAATATAAAACTTTGTCAACTTATTGCTTGCGCTTCGGCGAAGATTATAGGCATAGTTGGACCCGGTAGGTGGCGCTGTTGTAGAATCCAGATATCACCCGTGCGAAGCCGGGGCAGATCGCTAGTAATATAAAACTTTGTCAACATATTACTTGCACTTCCGCGAAGGTTATAGGCATAGTTGGACCCGGTAGGTGGCGCTGTTGTAGAATCCAGATATCACCCGTGCGAAGCCGGGGCAGATCGCTAATAATATAAAACTTTGTCAATATATTGCTTGCGCTTCGGCGAAGATTATAGGCATAGTTGGACCCGGTAGGTGGCGCTGTTGTAGAATCCAGATATCACCCGTGCGAAGCCGGGGCAGATCGCTAGTAATATAAAACTTTGTCAACATATTGCTTGCACTTCCGCGAAGGTTATAGGCATTGTTGGACCCGGTAGGTGGCGCTGTTGTAGAATCCAGATATCACCCATAATTTGTAGAATCCAGATATAACACATAATGAAAGCACCCTCTAATTTTGATCATGAAAGTGTGACGGAGTTCCATAATAACTACAAACAACATTGCAGCTTTTTACTGCCAAGCCACATATTTCTATTTGATACGTTATTTTACGCGAGCATAAAGAAAACAATGACAACAATAGCGTTGAGGTTTTATGGACTTTCCTCTTTTCGTTATTTAATGTTGGAATTTCTGTTTTAATGTTGGCTACAATGAGACGCAGATTAATCTACAAAACCTGTGTAACTTTTAATTAAAAGTAAAAAAAGACCTCTAAAACTAAAAACGCATTCATTTCCACGTAATAGCTTCGGAAGTCCTTTTCGTTTTCGGAGTCAGTTCTTACATTTTATTTATTACAACTATTTATTATTATCGTACTACTTTATTTTGTATTTACTGAGTAATATCACGAGCTTAAGGTAACTAACTACAAACAAGGCACAACTTCTTTGTGGAATCGTTTACCACTGGCTACTTATCCGGACCGATACGACTTAGGAACCTTGAACAAAAGAGCTTACTCCTTTCTAAAAGGTCCGAACCGCACCTGTGATTCCCGTGGTGATGCAGTTGTTTTTGGGTGCCGGTAGCCACTTACCATTAGTTCAGCCGCATGTCCGTTTGCCAACTCTTCTATATAAAATTAAAAAAAACTAGAACGTTTAACGTAGAACGAAAAACTTTATTCGGTATTTTTTCCTAAATATAAATGGGACCACTTTTAAGGTATAGCCTATTTAATAAAAAAAATATCATTTAAATCGGATCAGCCTTTTCCAAAAAATCAATGAACACACATTAAAACATACGCGGCGCATATCCTTCTTTTTTTAAATCGGTGAAAATAAATTTAATTAAGAATAGCCGTGTGGTGGCGGTGTAAGAATATCCACTGCCCATGTTAGAGACGACAGGGGAAAATAAATCAGGATATGGGCAGCAACGACTTCCCAATAAAGACTCGCTCGCTTGCGAAGCGTGGCAAGTATGGCAGATATATCCCCCTTATGAGGCTATCTATGGGGAGGCCTTTGTTCAGCAGTGGACTTTAATGGGCTGTAACGGTAACGGTGTAGAATGGTTGGTAAAGAAACTATTATACTTGTAAATCAGCTCAGCTAAGCTATTTTGTTATTACTACTCGTCTTGGTGTCGTAGCAACAAGTTGCCGAATGAACATGTGAAAATATCTACTGCTTGTGAGATATAGATAGGGAGCATTTGAACGATATGTTATTTTAACATATTACTTATGTTTCTTAAGTAGTGCAGTTAGTACCGAATATATTGAATTTACAAACAGTACAACGCCCCCTGTATTGAATAAAAACATCAATTGTCTGATCAGGCCATCAATCAAGAATCAACTGGAGAAGGAAATAAGTAATTGTAACAAAAAAGTATGAAATAGTACCTCCCAATATGACTTTTAAACCAAAATTTTAAGAAATTTCTTTTTTATTTGCTTCCAAAACTTCTTTCTGAAATCAAATACAAGTGTGAAAACGATTCACCGAATTTGTTCTTTAGATAAGTGCTCTCACAGCCTTTGGTGGTACTCAGGGGAACAAAAAGGTACTAGACGCTCCAAACTTAGATACAAATTGAAAACTGCTTATAAATATTCGATTTATAACCATACCGAAATCTACTTAGAATAAATTTCGTTTGCAGATTGCAAGGTTTTGTAGTAAATAATTTAGTTTTTGAAAAAACTAAATTATTTTACTTAGTCTTTTGTGTGGTAAGGTAACAACCAGAATGTCGTCTAAATTATTACGTTAAAATCTTCATCCCCTATTAGTCCACCCTTAGCGATGGTTTTTTTCCTATTTAATAAAAAGAGAATCATTTATTGGTTCATCCGTTCTCGAGAAATCGGTGAACACATTTAAACATACACATCGACTGTAGAACCTTCTCGTTTTTTGAACTCGGTTAAAAACTTGATGAATCTAATCCTATTTTTATAAAGAATCGATTTCGCTGTAGTCTCTTCATGTTGCTCATTCATGAACACATTCACGCAGGCCACTTGATTGTAAATGGATAACACATCAATATCTTCCTTCAATTAAGAATTAAAATGTAGATGTGTCGTTACTCCTGAAAGATTGAATGCCTCTTTTCTAGTAAAAGGGGTTCCAGTTCGAGCTCCAGTTCTCTAAACTCGCTATATGAACCACACAAGCATTAAGCTGCTATTTCACCATGTAATTCTGTGAGTCGAGTGTAGTTCTGGCGGTTGAACGACCCATTCATGCTACAATATAAGTATTAATAGTGCCTACTCGTATATAATATAGCTGCGGCATGGCTCTAACACTTGTATTATATCATTGACCTTATTTGTTGAATTTTGTTGTCCCCGTCAACATTTTAGTGTTGATTTACAACGATAATTAAGATAATTACATGTCAGAGTAAATAAAAATATATATATTTCGAGGATATGTGAAGTCCGTTATACGTATTGGAACAGCGCTGAGTACTCCTCTTTACTTCAGTAACTCCTTTTTACTCCAGTAAACGTTGACTGAGGGTTATAATACAACGTAGAGATTACTTTACATTTTTACTGTAGAAACCTTTTTAGCATATGCATACTGAGAAACATATAGTACGTACTATAATAATAGAACGGGGGAGTGGGCGGAGCCCGTGTAGCCACTAAAATATCACTAACATATCAATTCACACGTACAACTAAATATATGTATTAAAATTTAAACGATTTTTTTAATGATGATCTTGAACATTAATCAAAAGTCTAAAATGTTTAAATTTACTCAGTCTGTCAACACAGCGAATGGGGTTTGTAGTAGTGATAATACGACGTAATTGTTTATATGTGCGCTCCCGGCGACGCCGACCCTTGTACAAAATAAGGTTGACAGCTATTCTATTGTGTATTATAGTATTCTATGCTGAGAAAGCTGTGGCGCAAGTAAATCAATGAATAGTTAAAGATTATATCTGTCAGAAAATATTTCCTAGAATAAATCAAAATAGTTAATTTGACGTAAAAATATAAGGTACATCTGTTTCAATGTATCCATAGGCTCCAAAACTAAAACTGTATTTCAGGGGGCCGAAAAAGTACTATTTTGAGATGATAGAATAAATAACTAGAGCAGTGACTTGATAGTAACAACTCCTGCTATATTGTCATATGTCTTTCCGTACATTATTTCTACAAAATGGTGATTTGTGCGTCCTTTGTATTTTCTTTTCAAATGCGATATTCGTTACAATCCACAGCTGCTTTAACGGAAGTATCCGGTAACCACCTGCCGCGCCCTCGAATGGTGATCGGTCTACCGCAACCAGCTGACGCTGCTCGGTTCGGTTCCTTTGAAATTCGAATAAATTTGACTTCTACATTTTACTGGAAATACACTAAAAGAATTAATTTGTAGAATTGAGATTGGGCAATTATATATGATTTGTTACTCTACACCAAAGGTGTTTAAATGGTACCCATTTCTTTAAGCCCATGTTATTAATAATATAATAAGCCAATAAAGTTTTACAATCTTTTCATCACTGAATTGCTTTAAGCCTCTGGAGATACGAACCAGGCGTCCAGTCACCAGTGGCAACGACCAACTTCTTATACATTTCTTTAAAAAAACTTCACCGCGAGCGGGACACTCCGGAATGATGCATTTTTATATAGAATAAGGGTGACAAACGAGCACGCCATCTACCTGATAATACTTTATACCGCCATCTATAAAAAGACATGAGAATGAGATAAATTATATTCGCCAGAGTTGATATTAAAACATATTGCAGTCTATATCAGTCGTTGTTAAAATTAATTGAGCAATAAATTTTGATATTGTTGAAGCGTCTTCTAAGTGTATTCAAGTTATTGTTTTCTCAAAACATTTATATGCAAATACGCGAACGTTTCATTTTATACGGTAGCGGATCGGGGAAAATGAGGGCTGTACTAAACGTATCCGCTTTTTGTGAGATATTGTTTATAAATGTTTTTAGTTAACGTTTTTTTTTATAGAATAAGGCTGACAAACGAGCACACAGTCCACCTTATGGTAAGTGGATGCCGTGGTCCATAGACATCTACATTTATCCTCGATTAAGAATCAAAACTCAGGTGCGTTGTCATCCCTGAGGACTAAGACGGAATACCCCGTATCCAGTGAAAAAGGGTCTCCGGATCACCACACTCACTGTACGAAACACAGCAGTATTAAGCTGCTATTTTACGCTGATTTTCTGTGAGAGCGTGGCCCTTCCCCGGTCGATTCGACCAATTCGTGCTACAACTATAATATAGCTGCAGCGTGGCTCTACCACGTATGCAATGCTCTCGGCAGTAAACATATTTTATTTAGCTAAGATACTTTAAATACCTTAAAACGTCAATTTATTTATATTATTTTAAACACAGTATTTTTTTTGCAGTCGGAGCGAGTCGGCTTTGAACAGTCCAACTGAGCCAGACGTATCACTTGCTGCCTCCCTTACTGACCCTTTGGAAGCTCCTACCTTAGAAGAGGCTCGCAGAACTATAAGGTATCTGGACTGGAACATTCAATAACTATTTGATAACATACGTAAATATAGTACGTTATGTATATATTAAAAATCATTTTTAATATATAAATTGGTTTGAATATTTATCATCAAAAAAGCTACCTAACGTAATATAATTAGCCCAAGTTACACGCCACAAATATAATGAAAGGTTTATCAATTTTAATTAATTAATTTAAATAGACATTAATAAATATAATGTTCCTAATCTAGAAATCTTTCTGTTTAAGGGATTTACGCATGAAATATCGTGCTCAAGCGCATCAACTTATGACATGGCGTCGTGCGCACCGAACCCAGGAAGAGCTTTTAACCCGTTTGCAGCAAGAAAAAGCCGAACAGTTGAAAACATTATCGAGTCAACTTTTGCTTTTCGAGTCAAGATTAGTCCGAAAACAGAAAGAGATTACTAACATGCTTGCATTAAGAGAAACAATAATAATAAAACAGCAGAAAGTTATAGAAACATTGCAATCAAAGCTACATGAAAATGGTATTGAATTAGCACAACAGATTCCTGACTTTAGAGATATGCTTCAAGACACACATATCACTGGCGATTTTGATTCTCTTAACGACTCGGACTCTGCCGTTATCATGGAAGATATTGATTCTGATTGCAGCAATCTTCCGCTTGTGCCGAGATTCAGATCAACAAATCCTGATAGTGTCACTGTAGTGCGTTCCATTTCCGATGCTATAGATCCAAATGTAAAGTATAGTGTTGTTAGGCGATCTAATGGTTTTCTACGGAGACCGGAGATTCTTGAGACCGTATATAGCGTGGAAGAAGAAGCTGATGGGGATTCTACGAAAGGCTTAAGCGCACAGAATAGCACCGAAAAAGAATCGAAGGATATAAACAAAACAGATGAACAGAAATATAATGAAACCAGTCTACTTGCTCAAAGACGAGATAATTTTCGGATGCGGAGTTTGGTTCTAACCGCTGAAGTTAAAAGTATAGATTCAGATAAAGAAATGTCTAAGCCCAAAACAAAAGATGTCTGGTCGTACAGCTATGTGCCAAAAAGAATGATGCCAGCAAATGACTCGGATGAGGAAGTTACATCGAATGCTGATAGCGATGAAGGTGACCCTGAGCCCAAATCGACTCATGTCGTTACCTACAATAGAGTTATGTCTAACCACAGGAATGTAACAAAACCAAAAGATGTTAAATACAAGAGAATCAACAAGGCGAAATCAAAAAGCTTGGAGGAATTGAGAGGAAGACTAAAAAATTGGGTGGAAAAAGGGAACAAATTGCCAGGAATTCCTTTAGAGCACGCTCAAAGCTATGCTTGAATATCGTTAAAGTTCCTTTTAATGTTTTGTGTTGAGTGTTAGTGAACTATTTGAGCTAATACGATCTCAAAGTACTTTATCGACTTGAATCTTGTACGGCTAAATGGTTATATTTCAAAATATATGTTCGAAACTTTTAAATATAGTCTAAACACTAAAAACTATGCCAAGTCTAAGACAGTCAGTAATTTCTACATTGTATGTACTGTTCAATTTACTGAAGTAGATAGCCTAATGACTAAGCTTTATGGATAGAGTCAAATGATTCAAATATTCTTGATACCACAACTTTTGTAAATATCTTTCTATAAAATATATTTACAATATGTAACAGCTTATAAAATCGACTATACTTTCAACAAATATATATATAAGGGCTGTGCATTTAGATATTTCTGCAACAAATGTTTCGAATAAATTTTATGGTACTAATAACATAGGCTACATCAAACAATTCAGTTATTATAATATTAGATGTTTTGATTGATTTGTATTAAGTGATGTTGTGTATTATTTGATACAAATTATTTCCTCCTAATCGATTTGTCAATAGTTTTTATCTGCTGTTCCATTATTAATAAGTACTTAAATTTCGTGTAATAGAAACTTTACATACGCACTGAGATGTTTTTTAATCTCCAGTCATTAACATTATTAATAAAAGTTTAGACAGTATACCTAGAAATAAATCTGTCTTGGAAAAAAATTATTGATTGTACACAAAATTATAAGAGCTTTATCAAACAAAGAAACGTTATTCACAAATATTAATACCTGTGTATTTATTTTATTCTATACAAGTATTTTTGTAAAAATACTATAATTGTAATACAGCTTATATAAAAATACAATAGATTTCAATATGTACATATGTTGGTGCCAATTAATAGATAATAAGTCTTTAGTTCACTTTTTGTCATTTAAAAATAATCCTCTGCCAAATAACTTAGGCGTGATTTCTGTAACTCGCATTTGCCAACAAGTTTAAAGTTTTGAGCAACATTGAATATATCTCTACATATCATTTGTAAGCTGTGTATTGCTTGAAAAAAATATTTTATTATTCACCTGCAATGTATGTTCATTCCTATTTATAGTCAAAATGCTGATATTAAACTGAATTTGAATGAAATTTGATTTCTCTCTTTCCATTTCTCCGTAGCATTAAGTTAAACGATGCCATCTAGCCTCTTTGGACTCAATGGAAAGACATGCCAAGAGGCTTATTGTTAATACTATTATGACTATTTTTTTATAGGAGAGGGGGCAAATGAGCATGCGGCTCACCTGATGGTAAGTGACTACCGCCACCCATGAACAACCGCAACACCAGGGGAATTGCAAGTGCGTTGCCGGCCTTTTAGAAAGGAGTAAGCTCCTTTCTCGATGGTTGGTCCCTAAATCGTATCGGTCCGGAAAAGTCGGCGGTGGTAAACAATTCCACAGAGAATTTGTACGAGGAAGAAAACTCCTAGTAAAACGCATAGTATCGTGAATTTTGATGCAATGTGCGTTCGTGAATTTTGGAGGCTGGAACTAATCCGAACAATTCCTCAGAACTCTCTCCGTGGTAGATACGATAGAAAACGCAGAGTTGCAACATCCCTACGCAGCGCCAGTGAATCGAGCCAATCAGAAAGAACTCAGTCATCGACGATTCGAATCGCTCTGCGCTGGATGCGGTCAAGTAGAAGGAGGCGGCAGTGGGGTGCCCCGTCCCAGAGATGAGAACAATATTCCATGTGAGGCCGAACTTGCGCTTTGTAAAATTGTAAGCGATGTGCCGGCATGAAATACTGTCTCGCTCTGTTGAGCACGCCAAGTTTTTTAGAGGCTAATTTGGCCTTCCTCTCCAAGCGACTACGAAACTGCACACTATTCGATATGTCGACGACGAGGATTCTGATGGTAGCTGAGGCAGCAAGAGGAGTGCCTTCAAACTGAAGAGATACGACAAAGGGGTTCTTTTTAGCAGTTAACGCGCAAGCATGTGTGAATTGGACTAGATTTAATCGCCCCCAATCCGAAACTTTGTTAAGGAAAGACTCGACTTCAGACACAAGTTGGACCCGGTACTCGGCGAAGTTTTCCCGAGAAATATTGGCACGGACGGTATATAAGAAATTAACAGTGCTGTCTTCTGCATAACAATGAATTTTACCAGTTTGCAACATATTGTTACGAGCTTACGGTTCGTGACAATAAAAACTGCCGATTGAATTATCAAAATTGACACTTCTAATTACCGAACACCAATTAAAACTTAAAACACACTAAATAATTAATCACACTTAACACTAAAGTGTTCGCCGTTATATCCGCTGCTGATACTGCCTCGGTCGCGGTCTCTACTGTCCTTATATAGGCCTTTTCCACTGAAACATCTAGAATGTTCGAGCACATACCGGTCCCGACCGACTAGGTGTAGAAATTTGTAGTACGGAATTTTTTAGAAAGCGCGGTTCTGCTACTAGATACTAGATGGCGCTAGTTACGTGTACCAGGCATTAATTATGGCGCGCAACAATATCATTGATATGCAGAAGAAACAGGGTTGGTGATAGCACATATTGAACCGGTTTTCAGTTCACTATAAGAGTATGGACTCAATTATAGTAATTAAATTCTGTACCCGTAATAGCCATAATTATAATGAAAGCCAAGTTTACGATAATCGACGACTGGTTAACTAATATATATATATATATATATATATATATATATATATATATATATATATAATATATATATATATATAACTAATATATAACTGTAAAATACTGTCATGTTAGAGAGAGATTAATGGTGGCGAATTTTTTTTTAAGATAATTATTGTCAATTAATGTGAATATATGACATACAGGTTATACCTCTGTTTGCATTTAAATGAATTTTATTCAAACAAACCTGTTACTGTCGGAATTAATATTATACTAAGGTCTGATTTTACAATCATACGACTAAAGTCACGAGTATGTATTCATATATTCCAAATTAAAAAATTGCATTTGTATGAATAGAATAGTTAAATTATTTCACTTTTATATTTAGACGGTTTATAATTTAGTAGGTAATGTTTAAATTAAACCAGTTTTTAGGTATTCTATCGTGTCTATTAACTTATTTTATATTCCCGACGAGAATAGGTAGGTATACCTCAAACTCTGAAAACAAGATTGTACAACCAGTGCGTGTTGCCAGTGATGACTTACGGAGCTGAGACGTGGTCCTTCACTGCTGGCCGTATGAGAACGCTCAAGGTCGGTCAGAGAGCTATGGAGAGGGCTATGCTCGGAGTTTCTCTGCGTGATAGACTCAGAAATGAGGATATCCGCAGTAAGGCCAGAGTGACCGACATAGCCCAACGGATTAGTAAGCTGAAGTGGCAATGGGCCAGCCATATAGCTCGAAGAACCGATAACCGATGGGAAAGAAAGGTTCTCGAGTGGCAGCCTCGTACCGGTAGGCGTAGTGTAGGGCGACCCCCCACTAGATGGAGCGACGACCTGGTAAGATATGCAGGAAGTCGATGGATGCAGGTGGCTCAGGACCGTGCTTTGTGGCATTACTTGGGGGAGGCCTATGTTCAACAGTGGACTTGTGAAGGGCTGTAATGATGAATGATGATGATATTCCCGACGTTTCGTGCACTTTACAACTATCAATGGTCACGGGGGTGGCTGAAGTGTTCGACGTCCCAATGTCATAGTTAACTGCGGCTACCTCCAGATTAATAAAATATAATTAAATTTGTTCTGATCTACGCTGTATGAACTTATAATATCTTGAAGTCTTGCAGTTTTATGCTAGTATTTCGATTTAATTTTTTACGAAATGTTGGACCTAAGCACCAACTTACAGATTGGTTCAACACTTATCGAAATTAATTCACTGCTCAGGGGGCAAACAAGAGCACACACAAAGCATTCCTACCATTTTGCTAGTGAGATTAAGACCTACATCTGGCAGACAATGAAACTACGGTCAGTTTTGATGTGCAGTCACTGTTCACATGCTTACTTGTTGAAGACTTCATCTCAATTGTAACTAGAAGGCTGCAAGAAAACATGGCCGTCGAAAATGCAGTATTACTCAGACACTGCCTTACATCTGGCTACGTATTGTGAAATGATACGAGTATACATACCTAGTGTGGCTCACCTATATCTCCCATTGGCGCCTACATATCTAAAGAACAAAAAAAAAGAGATCACATAAATTCTAAAATACAGTTCACAATGGAGTAAGAGGCAAAAAATTCTTTAGCTTTTCGAGATGTGTTAATAATTCGGAAACCTGATAATACCTTGAGCCACACTGTGTATAGAAAAATACCCATACAAATACTTAAACGATATTTCTTACCACCATTCTTCACAGTTAGCTACCTTGGTAAAATTTTTGTTTCTTTATTTTTGTTTTAATTTAGGTGTACTTCGTTGATGTAGGCGAACATCGTTACGCAAGTAACGATGCGGATCGACGCAGAATGTCCCTTTTTATTTTTAAGCTTGCGGCCCTCAGACCGCGAACCCCGAGACCTCTGAAGCTGTAAAAGCCAAAAAGGCTAACAGCACTATAGAATTGAAACAAGTTTTGTGGCATATCTTGAGGGAGGCCTATGTTCAGCAGTGGTTTTGTGAATGGCTGTAATGATTATGATGATGTTATTTATTACACAATCAATAACATCTGTATCTAGATAAAAAAAAATATTACGCCGAGAATAAACTTTGACGTTCTAGTTTACTGATATTGAATAAGATACTTAATACTATAATATTTACTGATAATAAGCTAATGTTTCAAATAAATTAACTATTTATAGCCATCGAATATCACTCGCTTTCTTCGTGCCGGATAAATACAACATTTATGAATAGAAATCAATATATAAAAGCATTGTTGTGCGTATTGTATAAGTAAAATACCGCAAATGGCCGCCCTATTAGTAGTCGAAGGGTAGTGTAACGGGGTCGTGGTTTCTGTGTAGATATAGA